AGATGGTCGACCACCGACGAGACCTCAACAATCCCACCTGAAAACTAAGCTTTGCAAGATTGTCCGGGAGGAGAAAAAATCCGGGCCTGGACAGTGTCCAGAATGAGATCTAGATACTCCAACCGCGTGGATGGGACCAGACAGGACTTCTTGAAGTTCAGAATCCAGCCAAACTCTCCCAAGGACCGTACGCTCACCGCCGGATCCTCCAACAGGGAGAAATGCGACTCCGCCTTCAGGAGGTCGTCCAGGTACCCCACCACTGAGATTCCCCGGACAGCAGAGTAAAGCCAGAGTCGGTGCCAACACCATGGTGAACACTTGAGGGGGCCAACGCCAGACCGAAGGGCAGAGCCACAAACTGGAAGTGCTCCTCCCCCACCGCAAAACGAAGATAACGTTTATGGGAAGGGCAAATGGGGACATGAAGGTAAGCATCCTTGATGTCGGTGGATGCCAAAAAGTCCCCCTGATGAAAACAGGCCACCACGCATCTGATAAGATTCCATCCGAAACTCGCGGACCCTCACAAAACGTGTGCAACCGTTTGAGGTCCAGGATGGTCAGAAGCCACTCCTTCCTGGGCACCGTAAACAGGTTTGATAAAACCCTTTGAACCTCTCCGAGGGCACCGGAACGATCGCCTCCCCGAGACAAGAGGTCCGCCCCCACGTAGCGAAGGTCCGAGTTGGAAGGGAAAGAACATGTCACCGGGACGTGACAGAAATTCTATCTTGTAGCCCAAGGACACCGGTACCCGCACCCATGAAATCAGAGACACTGGACAACCAGAGATCCGCAAACAGTCCATGCATGGCCAGGGGGGAGGCTTGTTAAACTTACCGCCATACTGGGAGGCGGCCAAAAAAAACCGCTTGTGAACGGTAAAGGAAGGACCCGGCTTGCGCCACTGATCCCTCTGCTTCTTAGCCTGAGGCAGAAAGGTACTTTTCCCGCCTGTGAGATCTTTAATGATCTCATCCAGTGTAGCTCCAAACAAAGGATCCCTAGTAAAAGGGAAGCTCCGTCAGAGCCTTCTTGGAAGCCCGAACAGCAGACCAGCACTTAAGCCAAAGAAGTCGGCGGAGCGTAACCGCTGACACCGACAGCTTTGACACCAGCGGAGCAGCATCCAGGGCCGAGTTACAAATATACTTCAGGCCCAGCACCAACTGGACTACCAACAGCACTAACTCAATATATGCAGGAAAGGCATTCTCCTCAGCGAGACCATGGTGCAGCATCATAGCCCACTCAGTCAAGAGTCAGAGAGCCCAAAGGGATGCACCGTGTGAGGAGTCGCCCACTTAGTCAAGAACGACTCCTCAAAAGGACAATGAACCGAGAAGCGTTTAGGAACTGAAAAGCATTTGTCGGTCGATTCCACTCCTGTAGATGAAATCAAAGAAAGGACTACAAGGGAAGACCCTGGTGGAACGATTGCCCTTATGCACCCCAAAATGAACTGGAGGAAGCAAAGAAGAACTCGGGCCCCCCCAATTTTAGCGTCTCCCTGACAGAACGAAGCGGGCAGAGACCAATTTGCGCTCCCAAACCATAGGGGAAGCGCTCGACTCATCCTCACTACCTGAAGTTGGCGGGGAAGAATACCCCTGGTCAGGGTGGGATGAGGCCGCAGGTATCTCACCCTCCTCCCCCCCCGAAGGGAAAGGCGACGGCAGAACGCGCTTCCTAAGGGCCCTCTGCATCAAGGTACGTTCAATGCCCGTCACAAAACTTTCCACGGTAGCGGAAAACATCTCCAAGGACAAGGCAGTGCCAGCTGCACCGACCACCCCAACCCAGCACCCAAGGAGATTGGGAAAGCAGCTATGGCGTACAGGTTGCACAGAGAGGGGAACGGGAAACATTTTCCAAGGGGTGCCCACACCTCTCACATGGTCCATGGTGCCCACCACTAGTGCACACACCAACCGCCCCAGAGAGCAGACAGCAGGAGACCCCAGAGTACTCACGACCCCGTGGGTAGTGGAAAGCCACAGCATTCCGACTCCCGGTCTCCAGATCTGTCTTCTGTGAAAAGGCAGCAGCTCTGTCTCCCAGCAATCAGTCGAATAAAAGGATGCCACAGCCGGCCGCCGCTGTGTAAACCAGAAATGACGTCACGGAAAGGGCAAGGAAGCCCTCAACCAAGATGGCGGCCTCGGACGGGCCGCAAATGAAGACGGGGACTCAATTTTCGGCCGCCTGAGCACATGTGCTGAAAAAGCAGGAGACATGCGGCGCTCCCTGCCATCAGTGTTGTGGACCGCTACCAGACCCAGGTAAGCCCTTGCAGCAGCAAGGCCGCCTGAAGAACAGGAGGGAGGGGGAAACAGGAGAAGCTCCCGAGGCGCCTGCAGAGGATCCCAGACAGGACAAGGGGGGCTGCAGCAGCAGATCCCCCCCACACCATACCAGTAGGCTAGGCACACAGGATCTCCACACACAAGGTCCTCACCGCCCCAGCCCGACCCCACATACATACCACACCATGGGGTCAAAGCGAAGTCCCTGCCACTGACCCTCTTCTGGGTACCGTCCTGGGGAGGCCACCTCACGTATATCCAGGCAGCCAAAGCACAGAGGATGCCGGGACGGTGGAAAAATGCCTCCGAACGTAGTCGCGGCGCCGCCAGCCTGTATGGAATGCTGTGACTGGTGGGCCCCCAGTCATATGCACCCCACTGTTACAAACCCACAAACCTCTGCCTAAAAAGGCAGAGTTGTCGCAGCCGACCCACCAAGGCAGAGTCTGCATGCGGTCGACGTCGCACAGGGGAGACTCCAAGGATCCACAACATCCAACCTGTCACCCTGATGACACTTGCTAGAAGGTCCAGTGAAAAAAAGGATGAATCTGCAAAGAATTCAAAAGGAGAAAAAAATTCTGAGCTCCTTACTCCTGACGCTAGGCAAAAAACTGGGGCCGCCCCTAGGCTGTCTTTGTCTTTTTGTTATGTGCCTAGCGTCCTTCTCCTGCAGGTGGCGATATACCTACCATACAGGATCTACGATCTGTTGCCCTGTGTCCTTCAATGAACGGGAGAGAAAATAGACTGAGTGTCTACCCTTAGGTTTGGGAGAGACCCAGCTACTTCCCATGGAAACAACCTCTGTACCACAAGAAGGCAAGGCTCAGGAACCCAGTACCCTAGCAGAGCCCCACAGAGGGTGACTGCTGACCTCAAGGCCAGTCAGGACAAAGAAACAAACACTGCGCTGACCCAGACGGTAAGAAACACAATCAAAAACTGAGGGACGAGGGGGGTGGGAGGGGTTTTTAACCTTGTCTGATTTTGTTTCCTGTAGACTGAAGATCCAATCATCTCTCAAGTTGCTGTCCTGGAAGATGATTGGAGAAATAGGGGCTACCATTACTAACCTCCATCTAAAAAGCTACTTATCTTAGCTGTCATACTGATTCACTGATGTCCGTATTTTCTGTGTCCATAAACTCTGAGAGGGGAATTTATCAAAACTGGAGCAGACAAAATCTGGAGCAGCTGTCCATGGCAACCAATCAGCATCTCTCTTTCATTTCCAAATCTTAACTGAACAAACTGAAGAGAAGCTGATTGGTTGCCATGGGCGACTGCTCCAGTTTTGATAAAATTCCCACCCCCCCAGTGATCCTTTATACATAGAAACAGAGGGTGCTGCCTGTCTGACTCCTCAAAGAGGTCTTCTGGTGGCAGGAAACAGTGAGTACCAAGCTGCATTGATCATAGTAATCTTAAACAAAATAGCTGTAATGTCAGGTAATGTTAAGAGTTACAAGTTCAAAAAGATTTGGTCAAAAGGCCCTACTGTAATTGTTTGTGTAAAAGATAATCAAAAGGAGAGGCAGTAGTCTATTGGAATCAACACAAACACTGTTGCTATAACAGCTAATTAATGTCAGCTCTGCTACATATTTTGCAGATTAACCATTCAACCCCCTCAGTAGTTCAACCTTCGCTTACTGGGTGTGGAGCAGATAAGTACTACTTATCAGTCTGCTTTATGGACCTGGTGCAAACACAGCTTCCCCTTTCACATAGTTCAGTTGGAAAATAGAACACAGGTGAAGGACTCCTTTCTAATTCAGAGCTTGTTCATACAATGGCCATTGAGCTGCCTTTTTCTGCAGGGCACCGGACATGTATGGAGTGAACAAGGCACATAAGTTGCAGCTCAATGGAAATGGTGTGAACCAGCCCTTAACCAAACCTGTTCTTTTGCCTGATAGCAGGCACCAGAATGAAGTGATAATCCTTGCACTCCCACAGCTTGTCAGAAATCAAACTCCACAGTCAAAGATCTAAAGGAGAAAAGGAAAGAAAAGTGCATGCAGCATTTTTTCCCCACACCGGAACGGACTGCACTGGTTGTGAACAGGGCCCCCGAAATACCATAGGAACACATTGGGATGCATTTCAGGTGTGGAGAAAAAAAATGTTTGGGTCTGGACATGGTGTGAACAAGCCCTCATAGCATGCTTTTTCCAATAGAAGAGATGTCATTGTTCTGAAATTACACAGGGATGTGACATAAGTATCAAATATTACATTGGATGTATAATTCTACAAATGTGTTTATTAAATAGAGGCTAGAGACCCCTAGGTTTTGACCTGGACCTTTTGTGCCTCTAGATACCCCTAAGCCCACTCACTGCCCTTACCATATGTCACCCCCCCCCCTTCTTCCAAGGACCTACAGATCCCTCCTAAGTACCACATGTCTGCAAAACCCCTTAAGGACATCGGTACTTTGATAGAGGATCCAGCCAATGCACAGCTTTCTTATTTCTTCACATGGATACAATGTACGATCAACAACTATTTTTTTTTTTCTTTCTGAAAAGTTAATGCACCAATATTCCGGTTACTCCATTAATACCTCATGTTGTTTTGGTGGGAAACAGACTTAACATTTCTGGAGTCTTAAAAACTGATTTAAAAAAAAAATAAAAAATATATTATAGAACTAAATATAAAGCAGAGAAAAGGAACACTCTGAACTAAATTGGTCCCAAATTTATTGCATAATTTAATGCTGGTGGAATTATTTTTTTCCCCTCTAGTATAAATGATATTTCTGATGCCTACACAGAGCTACTAGATTAAGAGGCTTGTAACTGCACTGGAAGCTTCAGCCCAGCGTGTGTTTGTTGAATAGGTACTCGGCCATGCCGGGATGACTGGACCAAAGCTTCTTCAAGCTGGTGATGTGATCTCCAAGTTTCTTCATCATCTCCACGCTCTCTGACAAATATGGAGACTCCAGGAAGTCTGTCATCTGTAGTGGGAAAGAGAATGTGAAAGATTGGTTCAGAACAAGGGTTTCTGACTGGCCAGTGACATTTCCAAATGCTGAATTATGAAGCTAGATGAAAGGAAAGTCTAGAGATCATCCAAATCAGATTTAAAGAAGGACAATAGACATTGTATTGTTCTCTTATTTTTTAGATACCAATGTGAAAGATCAGCCTTATATGCAGTATATATTTTATATTTTGTGTTTGAGCTCAACTCCAGTAATTTTTAGCTTTTAGTATGAAGTGAAGGGGGATGCAGAGGTTCTAACCCTCCTACACGCTAATAAAAAGGTGCTTTAAATTGCTATTTCACTCTGCTGGGAGTGATTTCTGCTCACTTATTGTCTTACATGTCTTGGATACAGGCAATCCACAGCCCAAATAAAGTGTTCAATGTGCTGTTTACATTAAGCAGCAGCCACCTCTAGGTGCTTACACATTACTCCTGATCTCCTGTAGGGCACACCAATGGGAGCTCTGATTCTCAAAGATTGACCCTTCCTGCCACCAATTACTAAAACAAGAGGCAAGGCAGACTCCACAACCACAAAGCTGGTTACTCTTTGGATAACAGAGCTCCCCCCTTTCAGGGGTAAGGTGGCACTCTAGCACCTGCGACTTTAGGCAAGTAGCACACTGAACACTTCTTCCTTCAGTCAGTGCAAGTTTATCAAACAGACTTTGCCTGATTGACAAAAGTCCCTGCAGTTTTAGAGACCTGAAACACCTACAGAATCTCCTGGTAGCCAAAGTGACCTGGGCATTAAAGCAGGGCTCAAAATTTCAAGTCCTGAGCTACTAGCCAGGCCTTAAGAATAAGTACCAATTGTTATGTTAGGTGATGCTCCAGTTTCAGACAACTGCAGGACAAGTGCAGATGTAAACAGCTGCGAACTTTCACAAAACATGTATAATCGTGAAAATAGCGCAAGCTGTGGTCAAAACAGGTGCACACGTTAAAAGGAACGGCTAAACAGATTTGCACATGAAGAAAAAAAAAAAAAAATTGTCAAAATTGCTTTCATAAATTCCCCCCATTATTTTTTTCTAGCTGTAACATTAACATGCATTGATAATATTTCAGACAATTTTGAAGTTACAAGTGTTCATGTCAAGTGCTTACATGAGGGTCATTCTTGTCAGCAGCCACACTGTGGAGGTCCAGCAGAGCTTGGTTTACGGTTTTCTCCAGCTTTAAAGCAGTCTGTAGCGCCTCTAAACCATTCGTCCAGTCGTCACGCTCTGGTTTCTTTTAGTGTGGAAAGAATAAAATAAAAACATTGCAAGTGTAAAGGTTGTTTTCAGGAATAGGAAAAATTTGCTATTGCAAACCACTTCTCTATATAGTAGTACAGAATTGTCCTACCCCAACACTCATGTGCACGTACACACACACACACAAACTGTACTTGGAGCTCTACTATAATTGCAATTAATGTTAAGCTGCGTTTCCGGGTTTTACCTACAGGTGATGCTACAGACAAAATGTGGAATCACGGCTTCAGGTTATTGCAAAATGGGAAGATAGACATTGTATATTAATCTTTATGTTAACATAAGCACAGGGCCCCCCCGTTAAGTGGGGTACATATTTTAGTTTTCCACAAAGTGAAGCAAGGTTTTTTTAATTTTTTTATTATATTTCTTTAAAGTGAGATTGCTACCTTTATATTTCCATCATCCACTCTGATTATTAAACAAATGTACATGCCAGAAGCTGCCTTGACTTAAAAAGATGAGAACATTTTGTAATTTAAGGCTTACCTGTAACAGCCTACCAAGCGACAAGCAGCCTAGCTTAAAAATCCTCCCCCGAACACACACGGCCTGATCTCCTCCAATATCAGCCTCTCTATAGCTTTTCTATTGAGGTCAGTGGAGTTTAGGCCATATAATGCATGACTAGAAGAGTTCACAAAGCACCTGAATGGGTGTAGTTCTAGCATAGATTAGGGGTGTAGGTAGGGTGACTTTTAGAGCTGCAACAGTTAAATCGATTAAGTCGATTAAAATCGATCAAAAACGTTGTCAACGTTTTCGATCGTCGATTCGTTGGCTATTGATTGATTAGCCTGTTCGGGGCTCCACACACAGGCCTGAGTCGCACGTACGCCACATGCTGCGCCCGCGCGCCTAGGACGCTGAAGCCACGCCCACCGCACAGGACACTGAAGACGCGCACGCCGCTGCTGTGAGCTCCCTCACTGCTATCCCGCCGACAACCGAGGGCGCCCGATGTGAAAGTAAGTCAGGACCCCTTGAACTGTACCCCCCATCCACACACATCCGCTAGGGAACTACAAATCCAAGCATGCAATCATTGTCCCTGTACAAAACCCCCACACATACACACATATCACCCAGGGAACGGCAATATCTGGTTGTTGTACAGGGGCAATGAGGGCATGCTGGGACTTGTAGTTCCCTAGCTGATATGTTATAGACTTTCATAACTTGACCTTGCCCCCTAAAGAAAGGTTGTACATTTTTAAATGGTCCCACAAACATACATCTATGTGGAGCCGCATTACAGATAGGTGTATTATAGTACAAATCTGCTCAGCTTTGAGATGTGGACACTCAGGATAAATATCTAAAAGGTGTCACATTTAAAAATTGCTATTTCCTTAATCGCGACTTCAATGGATACCTACATGTGTAAGCGGTTTAAGAGGGGCTTCAAATGTAAAAACAAGGAAGGCACACGTCTGGGTTTGTTTTTAGCAAACCGTAATGTTCTTGACATATTAGATAGAGGCTTGCAGCAGCTGAAGGCAGATATGCTGTTTTAGGATTACTGGTTAGCTGAAACTTCCAATAACAATAAATAATGAATAAAAATAACCCTAAAGGCACTAGTCTAAAAGGGCCACACAAAGTTTAATCACAGCTTGATTCCAACAAAACAATACAATACACACACTTGATTGAACTGGGAGTGAGCTTGTAGCACCTCCTGCTGGTAAGACCTGAAACTGCAGCATTGCAACTTTCATACCAGGTGTATTCTAAAAAAAAATTCCTTTATCAGAACAATGGAGAGATGCAATGATGGTAAACACAGAACACTGAAGTTACATAGTTACATAGTTACATAGTATTTGAGGTTGAATAAAGACATTAGTCCATCAAGTCCAACCTATTAGGATCTCATTCTAGGAGTACCCGTACCCCTGTATATTACGGTCCCTTAAGAAATCGTCCAAAAGTTTCTTGAACAATTCCACATTATTTGCTGAAATCACCGCCTGTGGCAGTGAGTTCCAGACCCTAACTGATCTTACTGTGAAGAACCCCCTTCGCACCTTGTGCTGGAATTTTTTTTCCACCAATTTTAGGTTATGGCCTCTAGTTTTTGTAACGGAGTTAATTTTAAACAGTTTATCGCTAATGTTGCTACCACCATTAAACATTTTGTACATGGAAATCATATCCCCCCTTAATCTCCTCACCTCTAATGTGAACATGTTTAAATTTAGTAGCCTCGTCTCGTAGCTCTGGTCCTCCATACCCCTAATTAGTTTGGTTGCCCTTCGCTGGACTTTTTCCAACTCAAGGACATCTTTTCTTAGTACTGGTGACCAGAACTGGACCGCGTACTCCAGATGAGGTCGAACCAATGATCTATAAAGTGGCAAAATTATAGACTTGTCCCTGCAATACATCCCCTTTTTAATACAGGACAAGACCCTGCTAGCTTTGTTTACAGCAGCCTGGCACTGCAAACTAGTAGTTTGCTGTAGCACTTTACGCTTCCAAAGCTGTGCGACAGTACAGACGATAAGGTGTAATACAAAAAAGGTCTTATTGAGATGGATGATCTGGAGCAGATAGTTGGCTGCGTTTGGAGGTGGCTAAACGGCACCTCTGAACACAGCTGCATTCAGGGCTATGGCAGCATACAAACTAGCCTAGTAGCTGTGGCCAGTTTGTGCGCATCCAGAAACTCCCTGGACAAAATGTCTGTGGCCACCCCTAGGGGATATCCTTACAGAAAAAAAAAAAAAAACCCACACATACCTCTACACTCTGAAGGAAGACTCGCCCTCCTCTTTGGTTCTGGTACTTGATCAGCTTCTCTGCATGCTCCCTCTCCTCTTCTGAACGTTCCCGGAAAAACTTGGCAAAATTAGCAAGAGCTACATCATCACGATCAAAGTAGGAGGCCTGAAAAATGGATACATTTTTAAGCATGTTGGCCCATTCAAAGTTCTTAAAGGAGAACTATGAGGTGAGTGCTTTTCACTCATCCTCATAGTTCTAGCCGACCTGTGACAATGAGACTGTCACAAGTCGGCTCATTAGATCGGGAAGTGAGCGAACACATACCGGCGTTCGCTCACTTCTCGATCCTGTCACGGCACAGAGCTGTGAAAGGGGAGGGACTGGATTCCCCCTCCCCGCTCCTCCAGCGCTGACTGGCGGAACGGACGGGGGAGGGGGCAGGTACAGCTGGATCTGCCTCTAGATAGGCAGAGCCTGCTGTCACTCACGCAGCTGGGCGGATCCAGACATAATTGTTTGCGTCCTCCCGTTACCCTTAGGAGAACTATGGGGAAAAGCCCTAACCCCATAGTTCTCCTTTAAGCTGCCTACAGACAATTCAGTTCACAAATCTTTCTTACAAATGTATCATTTCCCATACTTGTAGATTCATATACTCAAAAGGGCGGTTATTTTTCTAGAGCTCCACTTTCAAAGGACACCTATGCTGAGAGACATGTATAGGCTGCAATTGCTGACCTTTCTCTGAAGGTTTCTTTTCTGACTGTCTCACTTGTTCTGGATCAGTGAATCAGAATTTAATTATCTGCATAATTCTTTGCAGGTAAAAAAAGCATTGAAGTCAATGGATTGGCATAGCAGCCATGGAACTGACATTTTTTCAGATGGAGAGCTCCTTTAAACCTTCTAATGAGTAAAGGGGAAACCCTTTACCTGATCCAGGCTTCCATTTTTCATGAACACATTGCTCTAGTGTATCAGTCCACTCCATCCGTTTGTCAGATCTAGGAACCTGCTTTGTTCATCTCCTTGTAATACAGAACAGGTTTGCTCAATCACAGGCACTGCAAGCTTTTGGCTGTTTCTAACATAAATAAGGCCTGATGCATCTAAGTATTGGCAATAAGAAAAGTCACATATCAGATTCAAACCTAATCTGAAAGTTTGAATGTTACAGGTCATAAAATCGCAGCACACATTAAGGAAACCTGTCATGAGAGAAACGTGTAGGATAACAATGTCTACTGCTCCTACTAAAAAAATGCTTTCAATGCTTCAACACCTTAAGTCACTTACCTGGAACAAGTATATCAGTATTGGAGCTAGACAAGAAGCATTTTCAGAATTCAAAATAGTTGCCCATAGATTTTATGAAAGACAGACATTTATGTAAGCAGCTCTGTGCAATCTGGCTGCCAAACAGAAGAACCGTGGTCACAGTTGTATCCATATCTTTGGCCATCTTTAACATTGACATCTAGATAGATTATAGTGCATGTAAATAGGGCTGCAACAACTAATCGACATAATCGATTATAATCGATGATTGAAAAAGTTGTCAACTTTTTCAATCATCGATTAATCGACTTCCGGTTGGTTGGCCCTGTTCACGGCTAACTCTAACAATGAACGGCTCTCATTTGCTCTCTTTGGCTGGGTTCACACCTGGGCGTTTCAGCGCTGATCAAAGCGCTAAAAAACGCTTAGCAAGTGAAATCCCATAATTTCCTATGGTCCCCACCTGGGCGTATTTCCGAGTGTGGGAATGCGCTGAAAAATGCTACGCCCAAACAAGTACAGGAGCATCTTTTGGGGTGTATTTCCACGCGTATCCATTGGTATTCCAGAGTTTGGCTGTGTCCTCCGGCCGCTGCCGTCTTCCGTCCCTTGCGAGCGTCCGTGTCGCAGGGGGGGGCGGAACCGGCGGGAAGTTTGAAAAGGTAAAAAAAAAAAAAAAAAAACCTGAAAAAAAGATGAGAAAAAAAAAAATCATACCGCCAGGGAGGTATAAAAACGAGCGTCAAACGCCAGTTTCACTGAACTAAAAAACGTGCTAAAAACGATCTGAAAAAACGCGCCTATAGTAACGCCCAGGTGTGAACCCAGCCTTTTGGTCTGCTAAATATATTTTTGAAAGTGTTTTGTTACAGCGGTTTGACAAGTACAAATAATACCCGTTGATTTTGCCAGAAATCTTGGGAGCTGAAAAGTTCCTGTACTCTTTGCATATGCACAAGGAGGGCCTATAGAGGTGAGGAGGGGTCTGGGTGTTTGTATTCCATGAGAAATTAAGGCAGGGCTGACACCAAATACAGAAGAGCCGTGTTGTCATGTCAAAGAGAAGGGTACAAGCATGCTATACTTCTGGCATATCAAAGGTTATTTTTCTGCAATTGTAGTGTGGATAAAGGGCAAGTCAACTTTCCTAAGTGAATTTGGGAAAATGGAATTACCCCCTCCTGCAATAAATTACCTTTTGATGAACTACCCGCATTGTAGATTCTTAATTTTGCTCGCACACATTGGTCAGCGTGGTCAAATGACAAATGAGAAGAGCTTCTGACTGTGCGGACCAATGAGAAGCATTTCTTGCTAAAGAAAACGTGATCCTAAACACATACATTTCCAATGCATTGTGGTGGGTTTTTATGCGCTCTATGGCCTAGACATCAATTGCTGTGCTCAGGTTATGTCTGCTCCCAGCATGGCTTCCAGGGTCCTGTATGTAACCACATAAGATCATGGCTTCCAAGGTCCTGTATGTAACCACATACGATCATGGCTTCCAGGGTCCTGTCTGTAACCACATACGATCATGGCTTCCAGGGTCCTGTCTGTAACCACATACTATCATGGCTTCCAGGGTCCTGTCTGTAACCACATACTATCATGGTGCTAGCCATCTCCCACAATACACTGTGTGCCCGAAGCGTGTTCCCAGCCTGCAGGAATCACATGACTTCCGGAAGCCAGTAGGAAGAACAATAGAGAGCGGGAGTTTAGTCCGATGTAAAAATAAATGTACTCTATGGTGTGTTAGGTTCTTTCATTCCACAGCGCTGTGAGAATATCACATTACAGTGAAGTGGAGGAGGGGGAAGCTGCTCACCAAAGACAGGTAGACGTAGGAGCTGTGATATTTCAGGTTCACCGTGCGGTTGAGGCCAGCCTCGCAGTCTTTGTGGAAGTTGTGTCTGACCTGGGACTCCATGTTTATCTGTGTAGAGCAGACACAGTGTGAATGAGCGGGTGTAGAAGAAACCCTCCTGTATACAGAGGAGGCAGAGGCCCCTCCTAACCCTTATCTATCCCCTCCCTCACACACACACACAGCACATTCCGCTGTCACTCCGGATCACTAATCATCTGTTTAATGGCTGATTGTCTCAAATACAAAAAATGATTCACACGTGTGAGATGCAGAAACTGCCTCATTTAAAGTGAACCTTTCCTAAGACTAGTGTGGGGGTTGCCATTGATAATATTTTAAAATTCTTCTGCTGATCCACCAGTTTTAATTTCTCCTAACTGGGCGAATGGAAATGTATCAGAAATGTTAGACCTCATTCACACAGCCGGCAGGTTAACATACACCTCTGAAAAGCTATTAATGGTGGATGACTTTTCAGAGCCAGTTCACAGGAGGACATTGAAATACTGCGCTGCGTTTTACACGGTGTTGCATTGCGGTCTTAATGACTTCAACAGACATGTTTAGCAAGCTACACCACCTGCCGCATGTGACACACTTTAAAAATGTGTCACAAAGTATTGCAGCTGTGACCATGTATGCTGCTTGTTTTTGCCACCCAAGTAAATGAGGCCAAAGGGGTCATTCACACAGGCGGGCACATCTGTATAGCGGGCACTCTCATGCAGAGACCTGCTCCTGGGAGAGACAGGTGCTGCGTGTAATTGTGTGCAGCCGCATGTACATCCCTATGGGAGGATGCAGTTACACACAGACCCGAACTTTCACATCAGTGCGGGTCCAGGTGCCTGCACTTGGACGCACGCTGTCTACATCCAAGTGCAAGCACTCAGTCTCTGCGCCAACATGCATGCCGTACACGTGTGCACGCCTATGTGAATGAGCCCCAAAGCTGGCCATACATGCCTCAAATTTAGCAGATTCTTGCTGATTTTTGAGCCATGGGTGGCCCTGCAATCACCACCCGGGTAGATTTAAAAGTCCACTGAACCTGTAAGAAAATTATAAGTCAATCAGTGACCGCGTCCTATCAGATGCAGTCACTGTTCAGGTGAGCCATGGGTGGCCCTGCAATCACCACCTGGGTAGATTTAAAAATCCACTGTACCTGTCAGAGAATTATAGGGCAATCAGTGACTGCGCCCTATCAGATGAAGTCACTGTTCAGGTGTCCAGGAAGCCGCAGGTGTCTGAATACAGTAACCGGCACTAAACTGCATGGATGGAGGAATTGATTGATTTTCTCTTGTTCAGCCCACGGAAATGATGAAGCATAGTTAAATGATGCTGTTCATCTCAGGACAGTGGGAGCTCCCTTTGCTTCATTGAATTATTGTTTTGGTCTCTGATAAAGAGAAATCAAGCTGTGTATGGCCAGCTTAAGCCTGAGCAAACATCACAATACACCAATTTAATGTTTCCACGCAGCGTTCGGGGTGCAGGAGACTTCATCAGCTTCAACGACTCCACTGTCACCCCCAACCCCAGTCTGAACACTGGTAGAAACAACTTAATACTGTCTGAACTTTGCATCCAGGGTGTATGTGAAATTCAACCCAAGATGGGAGCAGAAGTCTGTATCTGCACACTTGTTTTGGGTTAGTAATGAAGCCCCGAGCATCAACCAATCAAACTAACATTTGAAGAATGAAAATCCAGCCGATCCCTTAAAGCCCTTAAAGGAGAACTATGAGATGAGTGCTTTTCACTCACCTCATAGTTCTAGCCGACCTGTGACAATGAGACTGTCACAGGTCGGCTCAGTAGATTGGGAGGTGAGCGAACACATACCGGCGTTCGCTCACCTCTCGATCCTGTCACGGCTCTCTGCCGTGACAGGGGAGGGGCTGGATTCCCCCCTCCCCGCTCCGATCCTCCAGCACTGACTGGTGGAACGGAAGGGGGAGGGGGCGGGTACAGCTGGCTCTGCCTCTAGATAGGCAGATCCAGCTGTCAGTCACGCAGCTAGGCGGATCCCGGCACAATTGTCGGGATCCGCTTCAGCTGCGGCGTCTTAGGCCCCATTCACACCTATGCGTATTGTAATATGCGCGTCTGTCGCACGACCGTCACGCGTTTTTTTTACCGCGATTCGCGGTAAAAAAGTCGCGCGACCGTCGCGCGATTCCAAAGGCTACTTGGCAGTATACAAATGGAAAACGCCCTACAAAACGGACCAATACGCAGCAAAAAACGCTCCGGGACCTTTTCATGCGTGGGCCGTTTTGTAGTGCGTTCGGGACGGGCGGAAATACGGACAGGTGGGAACGATACCATTGACTACAATGCTATTTATTTTTTTGACCGTTTTGTAGAGCGTTCATCGAGCGTAGGACGCGCTACAAAACGGTCAGGTGTGAATGGGGCCTTAGTATACCGTGAGCAGCAAATAGAAGTAATAAATCAAGGAGCGCCACAGGTTGTCATATATAGTCTTTTGGACAGAGTTAATATATTGGCATCTATGCAGGAGGCAGCCCCAATGCAGTCAGGGAGACTGAAGACACTGTAAGACAAAACAAGAGAGGGGCGCCTTTCCTAGTGCAGATCAGTTTTTATTTTTCAAGTAAAATGAGGATAGATAAGTGAATGGATACTCACAAGGATGGAAATACACAAGCATTAAGAACAGTGTGGAGACCGAACCAGATTAGTAGCAGTCTGTCAGATGCGTCCTATGTGCAGATCGATGTGCAAGAGTGTCGACGCATTTCAGGGGCACGCCCCCTTCGTCAGGACATACTGACGAAAAGGCGCCCCTCTCTTGTTTTGTCATACCGTGAGCAGCAGCTCGCGGTATACTGCGGCATCTCAGTATACCTCGAGCTACAGCTCGTGGTATACTGAGCTTAGGGTGACGGGAGGACGCTAGTTTGTGTCCTCCCGTTACCCTAAGGAGAACTATGGGGAAAAGCCTTAACCCCATAGTTCTCCTTTAATGTATATTACTGTAAGGGAGTGCTTGATTTTTTTTTGCCTGTCAGTGTACATCTATAACCATGGCCATTTTAATACACTGGTGGACCCAGGGCAAGCATTCCATGAGGGCCTCCATACAACCCTTTTAATCCCCTCACCAATACTAGCATGCTAATATCTAATACATATACATACAGTATGATTATAGTTCATAAGTTGGTGGTTCATTGTTTTTTTAAGTGTATATAACAAAATGCCAACTAAGCAGACCTCAAATCTTAGTGCCACGTTATACAAAACTTCATTACCTGGAAAAGCTCTAGCAATTCCTCAAGTAAGGAAACAACATCACTCCTCAATCTGAAAACAGTACCAGAATGCATGTATCTATGTGACATCTGAGCTCTGGTGAAGGCTGGGTGTGGAAGGGGGGGGGGTGTCACACATGCTTAAAGTGGACCTGTGCTTAGCCTATGGAATCAATGGGTTCACATTAATACAACCCTCCCCAGCAGTGTACACTTATCTTTCATCTTCTCCCCTACCGCACTCTTCAGCTGCTGGAGACCGAGGGAAAGCTAATGTGTAAGCTTCCAGTTATTGGAATTATATCTTACACAGGGCTATGGACTCCCCATGGAACTGTTTGGCTCACAATGTCACATACAGTGAGTCACTTGCTTCTCCACACCAAAAAGACCCTCCTGGCACTGAAAAAGACATGCGGGGGGGTGTAACGTTGTGCTAAACCACTAGTTTTAACTCCTGAGTTACTAACCCACAAGTTTGCACATCAGGAAAGATGGATAAAAATCAGAAGTCCTGTACGACAAAAGTATTCTTTGTCAGCTACTTAAGAAATTAAAGTATAAGGGTCAGCATTAAGTCCAGAATACTAGCATAAAAAGGAGGAGAGTAATGGAAGCCTCCATGCAAAGTTATTTAGACTTGATGGACCATTTGGTCTTTATCTGTTGTCACCCTTCTTTGTTTCCATGTTTCTCATGACAGGTGTACCTTTTAAAAAGGGCATTTTATCCATGTAGACAAAAGGGGTAGCTGCTCCAGGCCCTGTTATCCAGCTGACCCACTAGATTTGATTCTAGTCTTGGATGAGCTGCCATTAGCCTAAGGGCACCAGTTTTGGAACGTGAGGCAGAGCATTTATTTAATATATCAGTGGCCCATGGTTTCTACAGTGTAATATCCACTTTGGTCACCAGATCTCAGCATGCAAGCACTGGCATGCCTCATTTCAGAGTAAGTAATGACATCATTCTCTGACCTTGTGAGTAGATGCTGAAGCTTGTTCTCTATGAAGTGGGCGATTATTACACTTGACACTGGGCCACCATTGTATGAAATAGATCTGTGCTTTTCAGGACCTCATGCATAACATGTCACTGTTCACAGAGAGAGATAAACATATGTGCAATAACAAGTAGTCCCAGCGTGGATTTTGGAGTTGTAGTTCCACAAAGCCAGTAATGCTCCCCCTTTCTCTCTATATTTTCTAATTATATTTTAAAACTTTTTTGTGTTTGGAGAATTGGATGAGGGGCCACCCATGAAATGTTTACCATGGAGCCACCACTGTCTCACAACAGCCCTGGGTGTAAATGCACAAAAATGCAGCAAGTCCTATATTTTTAAAGCATACTAATATGCAGCCCATAGATGTGAACTAGCCCCATAGGGATCAGTGGGGTTTTACTTGAAATGTATTTTAAGCAGTAAAATAAATGTGTTTCATTGCAGGAAAACAAAGCAGTGTAATTGGGTCCTTGCCTTTTGACAGTGCTGTTGTAGCCTCCCAATGCTTCTGTGCATTACCATCTTTAAGAGTCCATTCCTATAGACTGAAGCCTACACCTCAAGTAACAGGTTTGAGCCTGGTAATAAGTCGCTCTGTCATTATGAGGTGGGGAAGTGAGTTACTATAGCCAGGAAGTCAGCATACTTCCTGGAAGGCCCTGGCAGTGCTGTTGAGAGGTTTATCATCATGTGGAAGTTAAGATCCAATATCTTAGAGCAGTGTTCCCCAACCCCCGGGCCGCACAGTCTCAGTGCGTTCCGGTCATGCAATATATGGCAGTGCACGGTCCCGGTGTTCGAACACCGGGGCCCCGCACTGCTGACGGGCTTCACAGTGAGGGAGCGGGTCCTGTGACTCA